AGAGGAAATGCTACAGCTTGTGTGTGGGCCATGGGCAAGACTGCCAGGTAGACACCCAGACCCCTGAAAGCTGATGGAGGGAGAGGAGGGCCGAATCCAGGAAGCCTTCCTGGGAAAGAGACGACAACTGGGAGGACTGGGCACAACCAGCCTTACTTGGGGAAGTGGGTGAGGATGAGGGTTCTCTTCTCGGGCACCAGCTTGTCCTTCTCCACCCGGAACTTCTCCAGCAGCTGCCGTCTGGTCACAGTGAAGATGGAGCGGAGGAGGCTTCGCCCGAAGACATGAGTGGTCTCGTAGCGGGGGAGGCTGTCGCAGCTTTGGGGCACATGGCAGTAACAGAGCCACCTGGGGGAGTGGGCAGGCGGTGAGACGGGAAACCGCTGAGACCAGGGTGGCTTCTGCGCCTCCCCTGTGCCGTCGCTGGCCAGGCCTACCTGGTGTAATTGACCTTGTAGGTAGCCACGTCCTCAGCCTGAGACCTCTGCCGAAACTGGGCCGGCGTCTCAAGCTTCCAGTAGTTAAGGCAGAGCAGGAACATCTTTGAGAGCTCGAACATCGTCTGCCGCTCCCGGGGAGCCAAGTGACTAAACTTGTACTGCACAAAGTTCAGCACACCCTGAAAGGGACAGGCGGGTTACCAAACCCAGGAGGAGGGGTCAGCAGCCAGCAGGGCTTCTTAACCAAAAGCAGGTGCTTTCTGAGGACAGGGAAAAGGCCCCCCCCCCACTCCAAGGCTCTCAGTGAAGGGGAACTATGGCCTTGTCCCACCCCACTCCAGACCCACCCTGGTCTCATCAAACATCCTCCCTTTTCTGAGTATCTCTCCCATTCTCAGTCTGAGAAGATGGGGAAACAAAGGCTCCCCACTTCCCCAAGAGGCCCCCAATTCTCTTACCACTTTCCTCACCTCACCTGCTCAATATTAGGCTTCTCAAATGGGGGGCTGCCGAGGGATCCCTCCACTACAGGCCGGGTCATCTGCAGGATGCATTTCCGCAGGAGCTGGAAGAGAGGATGGCGCAGGGGTCAGAGCTGCAAACACCACACTCCTCACTTCCTCCCTCCCTCACAGGGAGCTCACCTTGAAGAGGTAGAAATAGACCTGCTTGGTGTCCGTGTCCTCCTCCTTGTGAACAGACATGAACAGGTTCTCCACGTCCACCACCATCCCCAGGAGCCGGTTAATTTCATCCTCTGACACGTTCTCCAGGTGGGACACATGGTCAGCTGAAAGACGGGCAGGTGGCAGAGTTGGGGAAGTAGGATCAACAGGACTTCCTGGTCCTTTCACCACCAGCGCAGGCGCAACCTCAGTCCCTCCAACCAGTGCAGCCAGCAACCAGTTCACTGCTGCTGTCAGCCCCTGGGTGGCCTCCCGAGTCTTCTGGCCCAGCTGATTTTTTTTCCTCCTCCTTTGGGGCACACACACTACCAACCCAACCCTCATTAGGAGGCAACTTAGGTTTTCCAGAGAAGAAGCTTAGTGGCACCTGTGCAAGCAGGACCCAGCTGCTGCTCTCCACTCCCACCCCAGTTCCCAGCGCACCAGCTGCCTTACCTAAAGGGTGCTCACAGCTGCGGCACAGCTCGCTCAGGTTGGCAGCTGGTTGCTGGAGATCCATGCGGGGTGCAGTGGGGGGCTTGGGGTTTTTCCAGCCATTACACTTGCAGGTTTCATTGGCCTGAAGGCACAAAGTTCAGTCAATGACCCTATACTCGGGGGACAAAAAAGCGCTCCCCAGTCAGTTTTGCTCCCATTCCCACCGGAGCCCAAGGATGCCCCAAGCCCCGCCCCTTTTACCCCAGACCCCGCCCCCACCTTGCAAGCCGAGAAGACCCCGAGCTTCTCGAGCTTCTTGGCGCGCGGCAGTCCTCGGACTTGCGCCTTCCTCTGGCTGGCGCGCTGCTGCTGGCTCAGGCCGGGTCGAGCCGGATCCCCCCCGCTTCCGGTCCCCCCACTTCCTACCCCAGGCCCCCCAGTCCCGGTGCTCCCGGCTGGGGTTGCAGCTGGGGCTGGGGCTGGTGCCGGAGTGGGAGCCGGAGTTGGTGCGGAAGCCGGGCTGGGGGCAGGAGTCGGAGTTGGGGCAGGGGCTGGGGACTGAAGGGGCCGGGGCTGCGAGGCCGGGGCCGGGGTCGAGGCCTGGGAAGGTTCCGCCATGGCCTCCCCCGCAGCGGAGCGCGGCGCGGCGCTCCCAGCCCTAGGGCCGCATGGGCAACCGGCGCTCAGTGCGCAGGCGTCGCTGCCCCGGAGCATGATGGGAGTTGTAGTCATACACGGTCGCTCCCTTAATCTCCAGCTTCCAGACTTTTCTGTCCTGTGTCTTGGTCCCAGACAGCCAAACTAGGCCGAGGCGGCACCCAAGACTGACCTCTGCTCACTTCTAATCCCTCTTGAAGGCTTCCGGGATAGACTAAATTGCTGTCTTCTTGGGAAGGAAAAGCATTCCAGAAAACAGGTTTCTTTTTAGGGGGAAGTCGTGGGCTCTGCTCACCTCTCAAACCCCAGGTAGACGCGCAGGCCCAGACCTAGGGTCCTGTTGGCCTCCGGGCACATCTCTCTCCCACCCTCACAAGGGGAAGCACCATCACACACATCTGCGGACACAGAACTGCAGCTGCACAGATTAAATAGCAGCACCTCTAGTTCTTGACCTATGAAGTGGTTACACAAATGTGTTCTCTTGTCACAATTCAACTGTGCCCTTTTTTGTGTACTTTTCTGCATATACATTATACTTCGACAGAAAGTTTATTATAAAAGCACTGAGCGCCAGAGACATGGCCATGATCACCAAGGAGGGATGGAGCCTCTCCAGGTTTGGGAACAGCTCTGGCCCCAAGTAGTGGGTACCAGGCAGGAAGTGGCCCCGGAGCCCAGACCTGCTGCAGTCGATCAACCTCAGAGTTGAATTAGGAAAGCCAGAAAGTCATGCTCACCTCCTAATATCACAGGAGACTAAGAAAGGCAGGACGCTTCTAGAGATCAACTCAACTTGATCTCCATGTGGCACCAGGAGGGGCTCCAGGATGTTTTCCAAACTTGTTCAGTGGGTCCAACTGGGTCACAGACCCTGGCAGCCTTGGCCCATTGGTGGAGTGGGGTGAGGATCTGAGAAAGGGGCAAGATCCTTCATAAAAGCAGCAGGCAGGCCAGGGTGCTGATCTGATGGGTAGAAAGATGTGCAAAGATCACCTGAATTCTGCCAAGAACTTGCAGGAAGTCAAGGGGGCCCACCAGAACAGGGTAGAACCAAGCTGCAAAGGGCACTTGAGCAGTGAGCACCCTGGCTCTGGTGTCTGAGCACCATGCCCGCAGCCTAGTGCCGTTGAACAGCAGTTGATCATTCAGCAGTGGTCTCCCCAAGAGTCAGGTGCACACAGGTGCCCCAGCCTGGCGCTTGTTGAACAGAACCAGGCCTTGCTGGGGGAAGACCTGCCAGCTGCCAGGGATGATGTCTTTGTTGAGACTGGTTTCCAGGTGATGACGGATGCCCACAGCTTCACCCCTTAGGAAATGGTGGTGCAAGTGGACAGCCAGTACCTGATGGTGACCTGCCAGCGGCAACTGGAAGGTTGCAACCGGATGGGGACAGCTACTTCGTGGGACCTAAGACTCACTGGGAGATACAACAACTGCCCAAGCTGGGTCCCACTGGCTGTACCTGCTACCTGACCCCCTCTGGCCAGTTGTACATCCACAGCCAGTGCCAAATGCTAACTCCCCAAGTCCATACCTCTTGGGGACTGCCCACGAGGCTCAGGGGCAGGCGCTCTAGCCTGACACACTTAACAGCTGGAGTGTGTGTCAGCAGCCTTGGCACTGGTGGAGTTTGGGGTCAAAAGTAGAGGTGTAGCAAAGGCAGAGAAAGGCCAAGCAGAGGGGCCCAGGCAGCAGGAAAGGCACAGTAGGGTGGTGGGCCATCAAGAACCAAGCCTATGTGGCACTGGGAGAAGCTGGAGGTTGCAGTGTTGCCTGGCCCACCTCAGCCCAATGCCCTTGGCAGCAGGAAAGGCACATCAGGGTGGTGGTCCATCAAGAACCAAGCCTAGGGCCTCCCTGGTGGCGCAGCGGTTGAGCGCTGGGTTGCGATGCTGCCCGCGGCCTCTGCGGCACCGGTTCAATCCCCGGCTGCTCCCCGGCCACTGGAGGAGGGTCCCAAGTGGCGCGCAGACCTCTCCTGCCACCCGCTGCTCCCCTCAGCAGTGCACTTCAGTCCTTCTGCCTGCTCTGCTCCCCGCTCTGGCTCTGGTGAATTCTCTTACCCTCCCGCGCTTCTGACTATACCCAGTGCTTGTACAAATAAATAAACAAATCTTAAAAAAAAAAAAAAAAAAAAAAAAAGAACCAAGCCTATGTGGCACTGGGAGAAGCTGGAGGCAGCAGTGTTGGCTGGTCCACCTCAGCCCACTGCCCTGGGCAGCAGCTCCAGCAGGGAGCCACAGAGGCCAGGAAGGCCAATGAGCATCAGGTTCCAGAACCAGCAGAGGGCCCTGAGAGATTAAGGGCCAGATGGCCTGGACTTGGTACAGGGCTGCTGCGGCCCGTAGAGGTGAAGAAGCCTGGGGACCGCAGCTTGGCCTTCTGACCAGTCCCAGGCTCCAGGGGGCATCAGTGTTCCTTCCTCCTCAGGGGTCTGGCATAGAGTAGCCATAACCTCAAAGGGATGCTTGATGTTTCAGAGAACAATTATTTTTAAATACAGACTGTGTATCATCCCCAGTATAATCTGGAGGACCCTCAACTTCAAAGTTGGTGAGGTCCAGCCCAGGCTGGTAGGACATCGCCGCACTCCACTAAAGCCAGTAACTGTGAAGGCCCCTTTCTCTTGGTTACCACGACCACCAGCATCTCCTCATTTGGGGGAAGGGGAAGGCAGGGAGGGGAGAGACGTGCTTTGCTTTAACGAGATTTACTGAACTGTTTTCAGTTAACTTCACGTAAGCTGGAGGGTATGGTCTGATACACTCTGCCAGAGAAAGACAAGGACGACAAGCTAGAGGTCGATCGATCGGCTGACTATATTGACAAGATACTGATTGGTTACATGTTGAAGAAAACATACAATACAAAATACAGAAAAAGTTGGTTCCATCCCCTCCCACTCCCCCCCTTACCCACCCATCCCCAAATACTTATCGTGATTTGGTCAGAACAGGGCTCAGAGCCAGAGGTCAGGGTGACCCAGGACGAGGGGGTGGGGGCGGGCTGTGGGCATTGGGTTCATGGCTGTCACGATAATGCTGTGGTGATGCTGTGGTCTCTCCCAGCTGCGCGTCAGGGCCGGGGGGTTGGGGGTCTGCAGCCTGATGACATCAGCCGAGGAGTCTCTCCCTTCCAGTGCCCCTAAGGCCTGCCCGTAACCAAGCCCACTCCACACACGGTAAGGATACAGATGCTCTTGCTGAATGTGCTAATCAGCAAGAGGAAAAGGAAGGGTAACTGCTCTATCCCCTCCTTCACGTAGAAGGGTGGGGGCACAGGAGCCCGTGGCTGCGACCAGCAAAGGAAGAGCGGGAGAGCAGTAGGAAGGGCAGGAAGTGGGAAGAGGAGATCACATATATTAAAAAAGTGACTTAAGACTTAAAATTGAATTAGTATTTGTACACAAAGGTGCAGGTGGAGTATTTCACTTCACCCTATGAGCAAAATTATATAGAGAAATCATGGTGGACCCCTCCCCCTGTCCCCCCCACCCCCCCGTGGTGGCCCGAGTCGTTAAGTGCGATTGGTTAGAGTGGATTCCAGTCAGGTCGTTCGGGCGGAGGAGGTGGGGGCAGTGGGCAGGCAAGGGGCTCAGTTGCTGCAGCACTGGCTCCGGCTGGCTGGGTTGTTCTCCTGGAGGTCCACGCCTCGGTTCCGGCCTGGAGCACCAGCTGCATTCTGGGGCTCATTCTTGGGAAGCTTCTTAGCTGTTTGGGAGAAGACGGGAAAAACGTGTTTATGAGAGTACCCCAGCATTCTCCCCCAAACCCACTTGAGTAGAACCTGGCCTTTCCCACCCAGTCACTGAGAACTAACATACCGAGGGCTTCTAAGTGCCTGGCGCGTTCTGAGCATTACTGAGGCAGGAGAAGTTAAATGACTAGCCCAAGACCACATTGTTAATAAGATGCAGAGCTAGAATTCAAACCCAGGAAGAACGACTCCCTAGCCAGATGAGGCCAAAAATCCCAAGATGTGGGTTAGGGGGATGGTGATGAAGGGTTTTAAGTGGGTGGCAAGCTAAAGGTTCAGGAAATGAAAGGTTGAGACTTTGGCTCAGGCTTTAGAAACTTTTGGGAATCAGACGAAGAGGAAAACACTTTTATGAAAACATTAAAAATGATGACAGTTGTGTTGGTGACGGGAGCCCAGACACCTATTACAGAACAGCTGGCAAGCAATACAGGGCCCTGGTTAGAGGGTGGGGGACAAGAAGAGCAACTTACCTATTGCCATGAAAATTTCATTCACGTTCATTGCGGTCTTTGCGGATGTCTCCATGAACAGCAAACTATTGTCATCTGCATAGGCTTGTGCTTCCTGGTTTGGATGGAGGTGAGAGAGGGGGTGGGACAGAAATGTTGACAGCCAGCAGGGACCGGGGCCCAGAATAAAAACCTTCCCTGATCATGTAACAGACAGCATGCAGGGAGCTTCAGGCCCAAGGGTTCCCCCAAGACACCTGTACCACACCCCCTGCTCCTTTCTTCACACTGAGCACCCCTCAGCTCACAGACATTGGCAGACTTTGACTTGGGTTTCCCGAGGACCATCCTGCCTTCCTGCTCTTCAAGATCACTAGGCTCGGAAATACTTCTAGAAAGTTAGCCTATAAATCCCCCTGCACATTTGTACAAAAGCACAGAAGGACATGGCTGTCGACTGCAGCACCATCTCTAGTCTCGTCACACACAAGGTGGCAGTCCATCAGCAGAGGACGGGTAGGAAGGACATGAAATACACGACACACAGGGCATCCCCATCTATGCAGAGAGATCACATGCACACACATTTCTGCAGAGATGAGGAACTTAGGGACTGGAGATTGTGTTTCTAGGGTCAGAGACAGCGCATTCTTCTGGGAGGGTTTAAATGTTAGCATGGGCATATATCACAGGAAAAAAGTATTTCTTTTCCAATAAGTTTCATAAAAAGTCAGTTTACAGAGAAAACAAGCAGATGCTTCAGCTATCTGTCACGCTCGTATCCCGCCACCAAAGAACAAGGAAACAGATGCCAGCTTCTTTCATGTTGATGCTTGAGTCTCGAGGACAACAAATCAAAGTCCCCCTGCTGCCTCCCAACACGGCCCTTCCCTGAGCTGGTGAGCCACTGCGGGGGCCGGGGAGGGGGCGGGGGGCCAGAGGAGCCAACTTCCTCCTCACCCCCAAGTCCTGTCCATCCCCCCACCTGGAATTGCACGGCTCTCTTGCTGGCCAGGTCCGCCTTGTTACCCGCGAGTGCGATGACAATGTTGGGGCTGGCCTGCCTCTGTAACTCCTTCACCCAGTTCTTGGCCCGTGCAAACGTATCCTGAGGAGACAGGGTCAGACCATCAAAGGGACAGAAGAACAATTCTGCCAGGACCACCCACTAGAGAAACTTAAGCCAGCAGATCCAAGGTGCCTAAGATGTCAGCACCCAAAGGATTCTGGTGAGACAACCCCGAACGACAGACGAGCGCTGCCCACACCCCGTCCAGGAATGGAGGGTTGAGAAGTAAGGGAAAATCTTTACTGTGTTGGTGATGTCATAGACCACGATGGCAGCCTGGGCCCCCCGATAGTACATGGGGGCCAGGCTGTGATACCGCTCCTGTCCAGCTGTGTCCCAGATCTCAAACTTGACTGTTGTGTCGTCCAAGCAGACGGTCTGTGTGAGGAAGGCCGCTGTAGGAGGGAAAGCGGTGTTAGCCGGCAAGAAGGGGCTGGAGAGGCCACCCTTCATACCGCACCCAGGCCCGGCACTCGGAAGCCTTCTGCTGAGAGGGACGTGGCAGGGCCCCACCCTGGCCGCCAAAGCGGGCAGCGGCAGGGCCAGTGGAGGCTGTTTTGTGTGTGTCAATGGGGACGGGGAGGGCATGGGCTGAAGAGGAATGTGGCAAGGGGCAGGAGAGGGGAAGCCGGGAAAACCTGACCCCAGGCCTGGAAGGGTGGGCATGCGCCCGTCCTCCCTCCCCTCAGGGAGCAGTCCAGCTGGGAGCCCCACGAGCCCCTCAGTTTGCTCTAGCCCCGAGGTGTCGCTGGCCTTCGGTTTCCTGAGGACATCCTCACACACTCAGTTATGCTGGGGACGCCTGAAAGTACAAGCTGTTCCACTGCCAGGCAGAGGCGGGGTGGCCAGTTCCCCAACCGCCCCCGCCACCTCCAGGCACGCTGACTGGCTGTCACCCCCAGCTTTGACCTAGACTCATTCCTGACTGGCCACCCTATGGTTTGACCTTCAGGGAACACAGTGACCCTATCTCTGGAGAGAGGAGGAGGGGAACACAGGCATTTAACGCAAAGGCTTCCTGGGAGGAAGTCTAGGGCTGGGAGAGGCAGGCAGGTGGGTGTCCTCTGTGCCCCAGACCCGGCAAGGATCCCAGAAAACTTGGTGAGGAAAGCCTGCTTTCCTCATCTGCCCCCCAGCCGAGGGGCCAGGACACCGCCTTACTTCCCCCTCTCCAGCTCCCGAGTGCTGAGGAGGCAGCAGGAGACTGCTGACACGGCCCGTTTTGTTTCCAGCTGCCTGGAAACCTCCAACCAAGAGGCTAGAGAAAGGGTGAATGAAGCCCAAGCTCGGCCTGAGCACTCGAGGCTTACACTAACCACTGAGTCAGGGGTCTAAGCACAGACCCTCACATCCTAAATGCTGACCACTGGGAAATTGATGACACACTCCAAGCTCAAGAAAGGTCAGCTTCAGAAAGGCCTGCCCACTCATCAAGGCCATCTCCCCATTCTGGAAGTGAGAGAGGTCAGGCTAGACGTTCTGCCTGGCATAGTAAGAAGACCCGAATAGTCCAGGTCAGGAGGAGGGCCGGAGCCAAGGCCACACAATGAGAGGAGGGACGGAACGAGAGGTAGAACGAGGAGAGGAGGCACGTTCTCTACTCCTGGCTATTCCCAAGGCCATGCTTATTAGGACTCCAGCCGCTTGACCAGCTGTGGAGCCTATCCTGGGGCCCAGATGAGGAAGAGGTGCTGCCGCCCCAGGCATGAGAGCCTCCCTGGGCAGGCAGCTCCCTTCTCCTCAATGCCAAGGTGTTTTTTGGCCTGCCGGAGGTCACCTCGCACCCTTGTGCACACTCACCTCCAATTGTGCTCTCCTGGTACTCATGAAATTGGCCCTTGACAAAGCGGAGGACGAGGCTGGACTTGCCTACTGCGGACTCCCCCAGCAGGACCAGCTTAAACTGACAGATTTTGTTCCCTGCTGCTGGTCCATTGGGTCTCGCTGCACCTCCCCGACCCGCCATGGCCCTTCCCGCTGTAGAGGTACCAGTGATCGTGGGGCAGGGCCGGCGCTATGCAAAGAGGCACTTAGTGGGGAGGGGGGCTCCAACTGCAAGAGAGCAAACAGAAGTAGGGGGTTAGCTCAGAGATCGCCACCTGGTGACCAGGCTGACGGCCTCCCCGCACCCCCACCCAAGTCCACCCCAGGAGTCAGAAGCAGCCTAACCAGGCCCCTCTGACCAGGCCCCCGGATCCACTCTACATTATCTGAGAGGAAAGAGGAAAGTGGTCTCCCACCTTTAGGTTCTGAGCAAACACACTGGCCTCCCAAACCCAACCATGTACAATCGCATATAAATAAACACACCCAAGAGAAGAGTGGACAGCCTGGTGACAGTTAAGTCACCAAACCACCAAAACCTTGTCCAGGTCAGCAAACAACATGCCGGAGTGCAGGCTCCAGCTGCCTCTGCCATGCCAGAACGGGTGGCGAGGCCGAATGTGGCACCGTGGGCACTCCTCAGACCAGGTGCTTGGCCTCCCTCTGGGGCACCAAGGGGACAGGGCCTGGGCAGTCCACGTCGTTATCAAAATAGCCATTTTCTTCTTGCCATGTCCTAAAGGAGCGATGGACTTGCTCAGTCTGAGACTGCACTGTACACTGGAATCAAAGGCTCGCTTCACTCCCAATCCTGAGCCTCTTTCCCCCAGTTCTCTCAGTTTTGATGGGCCAGAAGTCTCACACACATTAAAAAACAAAACACACACCAAAGCCAGAGCTCTGCTGGCAGTCAGAACGGCTGCCAGGTTTCCCTTTTAAATAGAGACCTCAGTTCCATTCTCTGCTGGCACAGGCAGAGGGTGACGCGGGGAGAGAACAGGGGGAGGTATGGGCGGGCGGAGACAGACATGGGACACCCAGACCCGCAACCCAACAGCTGGTGTTCCGGCACTGACATCTTAGTCACTCGGTGAGTGATAGCTGCGGAAGACAAGCTTTTTTTTTTTCCTTCTTTCAGATTTTGGAACTGCAAAGAAGGATGAGGAGCCGGTCTCCAGAAGCTTCTAGTAGACTTACACTGTGAGCATGTGGGCACTGTGTCCTGCACACTCCGTGTGAACTAAGCCCCGTGTGAACCTAAGTGGGAAAGCAGAGGTTTAGAGAGGCCACCCTCTGAGTGGCTTCATTCTTTAAGAAGGGGTCTTTGGAGTGAGACCCCCCCAGAGAAGGCTCCCCCCCCACCCCCCGCTGCATACAGGGGAGTGCGCTCCCTTACAGTCAAAGACGGTGCAAAGAAACATGGACCATGGAGGGAGCAGCTGACAGAGAAGGGCTTGCATTGTTCAACCTCAGGTCAGATCATTTTCACATCCAAGTTCTCCCAGCTACTTGTTTAAACAGTGAGCTTCAGGAAGAATGATTCACTAACCCCAGGAACAAGTTTCCTTTCTGGATAGCACCAAAGGAAAAGGGGTTTGAAATGGGGGCCACCTCTTCCCCAAAATTACAGGAAGGAAGTTGGGGGGGATAACGTCAATGAGTGACAAGAAATGCCATTTATGAAATCTCCTGCAGTTTAAGACGCTCTCTTTTCATCCCAGCAGCGTTTAGCAGACTCTACAGCCTTGAGGCAAGATCTCTGCTTTCTGCTTCTCTGCACTGCCCTCCTCCTGTTATAGGGCAGCCCCGATACAAAACGGGGTGATTAGCTCAGGACATCCTTTCCCCCTAACACTCCAAAGGCCTGAGCACATGTGGGGGCTCAGAGTGTTTACTAAATCAAGTGAGTTTTCGAGGCAGCTAACTAACATTTACTGAGCAACATTTACTGTGCAATTCTTATCTCCTTTAAGTTTCCAAACAATCTCCAGTTTTTCAGATAAACATCCTGCTGCTCAGGTATCGAACACCCTGCTCAAGGCCACCTTGCGTGGGCACAAACTCGGGTGGCCTTCCTGTCATCCTGCCATTCTCCCTGCCTTGGGAGGAATGATAGGGGTGATGCCCCACCCCTCGTGTCCCCGTTGTTTGGTTGCGGGGTAAATGAAACTCTCTTTTGGTGGCAGCAGCTTTGCTGGCCCAGCAAGGTCTGGCACCGGCTCTGACTCTGGCGACAGTCACAGTGATCCCTGCCACCCCAGAGTACCCCCAACAAGAGGAGGAGCCACCCCGGGCCAGGCCAGACGACAGCGACAGAGGGAAACCACAGTGGAATTACTAGTTGGTTATTTTTTTTTTTTTTTTTTTTTTTTATAGAGGCATGTTTTATTTATTTATTTGTTTGTTTTGTTTATACATGCACTGGGTACAGTCAGAAGAGCGGGAGGGTGAGAGAATTCACCAGAGCCAGAGCGGGGAGCAGAGCAGGCAGAAGGACCGAAGTACACTGCTGAGGGGAGCAGTGGGCGGCAGGAGAGGTCTGCGCGCCATGTGGGACCCTCCTCCGGTGGCCGGGGAGCAGCCGGGGATCGAACCGGCGCCGCAGAGGCCGCGGGCAGCTTCGCAACCCAGCGCTCAACCACTGCGCCACCAGGGAGGCCCTACTAGTTGGTTATTAACATGAATCCCCGTGACAGAGAATCTCGACTGGCAGGGTGAGGCTGGGGCACTAGAAGAGGAGGTGCAGAGGAGTGGGGGACAGGGGATCCGAGCACAAGTTTCGGGTTCCAAAACCATCAAAGCAACTGGGGCATACAGGGCTGTGGGGATGGGGATAAGGGAAGATAAGTGAAGAAAAATAGAGGTAATATCTGAGTCTTGTCCCTGTCAAACCAGCCCAGTCGGGATTTGATATTTTAACAAGGCAGGAGAGAAAGATAACGCATGTAGTGGCTCTTGACTGTCTGCCCATGGCAATCACCTGTGCAGTCGAACCCCTCAGAAGACTCAGAGGAGGGCCTGGCCGTAGCATTTCTTTCAAATATGTAGGTGCTCCACCCTGGCACAAACTGGCTGGGGACAGGTCCTGCCTGGACACTGGTGCTGCCTTCCAGAGAGAGCGAGCAGGCATGGCACCTTTATGACCTGTTGTCCCATGGTTTTCCTGCCCCCTCGCACCCCCATGATCACATGAACAGAGGCAATGAACCTTCCCGACACCAAGGCAGGGAGGAAGCTGGTTTTGCCATGAAGGACTCATGGAGACGTGGGGGTGTCTAAGATAGTCACAGGCCAGACCCAGAGCCCCAGGAAGCTTTACACATACACCTCCACCCCTCAAGATTGGGAAACCTTTACATCAGGTGGTAAAGGCGAATTCATGGACTGAGCTGGCCTGCTGCCTGGGGTAGGGAACCTCACAGAGGGAATCTTTCCTCTGAACCAGGGGCAGGAATTATCCACAGGTGCAGTCACAAATAAACATGGCACTATAAAAGTATTTTTTCCCCAGACAAAAAGCAGAGTCTCTTGAAGAGCTAAAGCTGAAGCCAAGTTTCTTATGAGGTACAGAATGAGCCAAAAAAATTTTAATGCCAGTTTCAGCAACACCAGAAAAAAAACACTACAGGTAGGATGGAATTCCTCTGGGATAGCTTCCTGATGCTGCTGGCATGGCCAACTTCAGACCTATGGTAAAGGCCTTCCTTGCCAAGACGAGCTCCCCCACCATCCTCCAAATCAGGACCTGGTCTGTCTGGAGGCCGTGAAGAAAGAGTGCACGTGCCCACCTCACATCACAGGACAGGGGAGTGAAGTAAGGACCCGGGGGCACCCGATGCCTTTTCCCACAATGCACACGGAAGGGCAGAGGGCCCGAGCTCCCGGACATGCGCGCCTGTGATCAGGCATATAGGGCACGTGCCAAGCCGCGAGGGCGGGGAGAAGACAGGGAAAAAGCAGCGTCTGCTCTTCCTTGCTTCTGTCTCCGTTCTGGACACTACCGGTCAGTGAGTCTCCAACTTCTCCCATCAGAATCACTCAGGCATTCAGACAGAAACTCTGACCAACTGAACAGACCCTCTAGAGGTGGAGCCCAGAAACTAAGGATTTTAACATAAGTTCCCCAAGTCACTCTAGGCAGTCAATTTAAGTATGAGCACAACTGTTGCTACTGGAAGGAGGGAGGAATGCAGGAGACAGAAAGGCACCCCCAGATCAGCACTGTGCGGGATACAGGTGGGTCAGAGGGGGGTGGGCCTGGTCTCTGCTTCATCACTGAGGCCTTCTTTAAGGCGTGCTACCAGACTGTCGCCCCCTCCTCGGGCCCCATCTGAAATGAAATGTTCACCTTTCTCTTCTCTAATCCATGAAGTCACCCACTTCATATTCATTGTCCTTCCTGTAAAAGGGTGAGCAATTCCAGCAGATGGGTGTCTCTCACACTTCCTGTTTGCTTCAGGGACTTCCTCTAGCTGACAGTCTGGATAGTGAGCTGATTAGGGAAACCAATCAGATTCTGTTGACCAGAGGCTGGGCCAAGACTTGCTCATTCAAGGTTAAGTTAGCTGGGGGGGGGAGGGAGGCGGAGCCGGGTGACCCCACCCGGGCCCCCAGGAGGTGGTTCTGGCCAGTGACTCTTCAGCTACACTTTACTGTGGAATTAAGCATTCCTGAATATTTAAACACCCCAAGAGTTGGGCAAGAGAAGACCTCAGCAGAAGCAACTTGTTAGCTTAAAGAAAACGAAGCACGGGACATGGGGGAGAGGTAATGAGGCTCAAAGGCTAAGGTGGACAACATCAAAGAGCTCGGGTCAGTGGGGGAGACAATTTACCCACAGATTCGAGAACACAGCTCTTCCTCAAAGGGGAAAGCCACAACCGCCAGCACACACAACCGGAGAACACATTCACAGCAGGGTTACCCGACTCGAGCTGGTGGCTGAACCAGAACAGAAAAGAACCTGACGCCACACGAGCCACGTGAGGTGCCCACTCGCCCTTCCCCCGCAGGACAAGCAGGCTAGGCCTGGGGAGACTGAACTGGGTTTGGTTAAAGCCAGGCTCCACCATTTATTAGCTGTGTGACCTTGACCAAGTCATACAAGTGACCATTGTCAGCTTCAGCCCCTTATCTAGAGAAAGGTATTATTTAATATTAATCACACCATGCTGCTGTCAAGGTTAAATGAAATGAGGCATGGTGAGGCATGGTGTGCACAGCACCGT